ACTGAGAAAACTTTCCCCTCGTGCCTGCGTTTGTGTTCATGCTGTTTGTATTTAACACTATCATCAACATCAACAGATCATATTATGTTTTTAGTTGAACATAATCATTTTGTTAATCATTTTGTATTTTTCCTCCTCAGATTCAAAACCTTCTTCAGACATAACCATCAAAACTGAGCTGATGACAAGTACGTACAGGCTCCCTGTGACACACAGTCTTAATCTTTGTGTGGTACTGCAGGTTTTCACTCATGGAGTTTTATACTTTGATGCATTTTGAATTATTAAAAACATTTCTGAACTGTTCAGCTGGTCTGACTCACCAGCTGTAGATTTCAGGTATAAACCTGCCATCACCATCATATCACACGTTTCTTCTCCTACAGTCGATTGTTTTTGGAGTTTAAATGCTCTTACCTAAACAAAACAACATCCTCAGAGGGAGCAACATACATGCTGAACATGGCAACCACTCGCAAAGATCTAAATATAACAAACTAGACATTTTTATGACAGTGCACATCGCTCCAGTTGCTGTTTCTTATCTGGGTAAGAACCAGTCGCTTCCACTAAAACCTCATATATGAAGAATAACGAGGCCATATAACAGATTTTACTGAGGAACAAGTAACTAGTTAAACTGTATCACTAGTGACATGATGGACGAGGAAAGTTTGTGTGGAGATGGTCGTGGCCCAGTGTGTGTGTGACAGCTCCTCCATCATGATGAGCTTTTGACCTGAATGTTTTTTTTCTTTAGAGTAATTCTGACAAAGAGTGAAATCTGCAACAAAGGTAAGTGACGTCTCTGAACACATCACATGTACCACATCCAGTCATCTTTGTGTTGCACTGAATGCATTTAAAGAAATCCTTCATTTTTCACACTGACTGCATTTGCTGATGCATGAAGAATTTTTCATTCACTCCTCGTTAATGAAAGCTGAATCTTTCTTTGAACAGGAGACACTTTGATCACTTGGACTAACTTCACTTGATGAGGAATCTGCATCACTGAACTCCTGAGAAAACATTTCTACTGTAATGGACATTTTTTATTGGGGTGGCTGTAGCTCAGGAGGTAGAGCAGGTCACCTACTGATCGGAAGGTTGGTGGTTCGATCCCAGGCTCTTCCGGTCTGCATGCCAAGTATCCTTGGGCAAGATACTAACCCCAAGTTGCTCTCTGATGCATCCATCGGAGTGTGAATGTGTGTGACTGTAGTTAGAAAAGCACTAAGTACAGATAAAGTGCTTGTGAGAATTGGGTGAATGTGTCTTGTTGTATAGAGCACTTTGAGTACTCCAGGAGAGTAGAAAAGTGCTCTATAAGAATCACTCCATTTACAACTTGTGACTGAAACATACACAAAATACACGAAGGAACCAAATTCTTACTTTTATGTCACAGGAAAAAAAGAGAATCACTATTTTCTGTGAGAAAAAAAACTTTTTAGCCAAACTAACTTTATTTATAAAGTGCTTTAATACAGCAAGTCCCGACCAAAGTGCTTAACATTAAGAACAGAATAAAAATGAAAAAATAAAATAATTCATTCATTAATAACAACAACAACAACAATTATAATAGTATTAACAATAATTAGACCATAACAATAATATAAAGACATAAATATAAACACTGAAAAAAACATAAAAAACAATTTAAATTTTTTAAGTATAATTTTACACTGTAGGTCTCTTTTATGCAATAATAAGTAAAGATGGTCCTGAAGAAGAAAAACGACATCTGTAGGAATTATGTGTTTATTTTCCTCAGTGTTGGTCTGAGTGTGTATTAACATTATTCAGTTTTAATGCTGCTTTGCTACAGCAGTTAGTTCTGCATGTTTGATTTTAGTTTAACTCTGGATGACTTTCCTGACACAACCTCAAACGGGATTTGTGTTCTCAGCTGGAATTGAACCATCAACCTTTTACTGACAAGGTCAGAATGCTAACCACTGCACCTTTGCAGGCATCGTGATTTAAGCTCAATAAGTTGAAAATAATAGTTCTGTGATTTGCTGTGCTTTGAACTAACTGCAGATCAGTGCATTTACACTCACTTTACAATCACAGTTTTTTAATGAGCAACAACATGAGGTGTCTTGAAATACTGAGTTTAAGATTTATAAAAGTTGTCACAAATAATTTGTTTCATCTTTAATAAAAAATATGAATACGCTGATGAAAGCTATAAATAAGGTATTGCAAAGAAAAGCTGTACTCTATTATTGCCATTTCTATGTTTTGTTCAAACCCTGGTACATGTGACAGTGATGAACAGTCATGACTTTAATGGTAACTGTATCATATATACTACACAGAAATGTTTTATTACTGTTTGTTCTGTTAGATGGTCAATGCAGCTGCCAAAAATCAGGTTTACAGTGTGTGTGTGTGTGTGTGTGTGTGTGTGTGTGTGTGTGTGTGTGTGTTTATGTTGGATGTTTCAGGTCAGCTGTGTTTTGATCTACAGAATCAGGGGAAAGAGTCTTTGTTCTGTAGACTACTGCACTGTTTCTATACTTGAACATCTAAATAAAAGTTTAACATTGTGGTCGTGTATAATGTCGATTATTCAGAGTGTGGAGAGGAACTTTGTTCACTCAGGTGAACAAAGTTTCTGTTCACCTGAGTGAACAGAAACTTTGTGAATATGAGTCATGTTCCAACCTAACACCACAAATATTGAATTACTGAGTATGTAAAGGTGGGTGCATCACTACTTTCAGCCAAGGAGATGATGAACTTTATAATTTTAGTTTGTTAAAGATTTCTATTCCAATTCTGGTTGAATTGGGCTTCAGATCCAAGTGACAGCAGGTCAAAATGTTACCTGTCAGTGTCCAGCATCAGTCTGTATTCAGTTTGAATATTACTATAAACGTATATGGATGAGTTTATGTCCTTTATTCACTGTAACATTTAACTTTTGAGAGAGCAGGATGAAGACAGCAGAGAGCAAAAAGAAACAGAGTGGACATGTGGTCAAATTCACCGAACAGCATAAAGTTGTAGCTTCAGTATAAAGCAGTGTGTTATACTGTTATCAATTATGGATCAATAATCTGCCCTTATCATCATAATAATAATAATGATGTTATCTTAATTATTCTAAGATGATATTTTTGTTATTTTCTTGTTCCTAGTTGAGTGAGGACGATGGAGAGAGAGAGGACAGAGAGGTTGTATAAGAACAGGAAGACTGAGGGAGCAGACAGTGAAGGCAGCTGAAAAACAAAATTAGTTTTTCATGTATTTCATGGAGACTTTGTTTTCCAGTAGCACATGTAAAACATGCCAGTAGACATTCTGAACAGGGGATATTGGTTTGAATAGCAGCATTTTACAGGATTCACTCCAAACATGGCTGAACAGGATGGCTGCCACTACAACGATATGACAGAGTACAAATCAGTTCTCCACGTATAAAACTGGAGCACACGATGCCCTGTGCTGTGTTTGCATGATAAAGGGAGAGTTGGATGAATTCAGAAATATTAATACGAAACAACTCTATTACCAGTTTGCTTCACGTACTGGTCTGTGGAGTGTCATCGGGATTTTCCAGTGTCTGTACTGAAAAATGTCACTTAAAGTACTTGATGATTTGGTGGAAGTCTCTGTGGTTAAGAGACTGAAATACTGTTTCTTATCTTATTGCTTTGCCACAAATAGTTCTTTAACTTCTTTAACAAGTCTTTGCTTGGGTTGGGTAACTAAAGGCTCCGCCCTAAAACAGGTGGATGAGATTAAAATCACTGATTATTCACTCTGATTCATTTTTAAACGTTACAATACGTCATCCAACTAATTAGGCTGCTTTTGAAAGTAATGTTTTAATGTGTATCAAATAGAATTGAGGTTTGAAAATGTGAAAATGTTTGATGACATTTGCAAGTAGCATTTTCTCTTAATATTAACGACAAGGTGTTAAAATGCTCAGCCCCCAATCATAATGCGAGGCGTTATGATTGGGGGCTGAGCTCCCCTAAAAGTCTGAACCTAGAACCCCCCCAGTCTACTACATGAAGTCTTGCCCCCATAATTTTGATTTGGGGGCTTGTTGGACCAACTTTTCCTCTTATTTACTTATTTTGCTCTTTATGTGAAATAACAGTGGCATACTACTGTAATTATGTTAGTCTTCATAAACTTTACACACTCAAAGCAAAAATAACTACACTAAGCTGTGTTGTGAAAGAGAAAATTAAACTGCAAATAGAATAAAGAAACAGATTTTGCTAATGAAATTTTATCTGGAAATTAACCAGCACAGAATGAATGCACAGTTTTTTGGGGGATGAGAAAAGTCTGGGCTTCTCTGCTCAGGCTGCTGCCCCCGTGACCTGAACCCAGATAAGTGGAAGGAGCTGGATGCCATGTTTGAACTTCAGCAGGACGTTTCAACCGTGTCTACACAACTGAATGCATCAGATTGCTGCTTTGTGATTGGCTGATTAGAAATTTGTGTTAATGACCTCTTTAACAGGTGTACCTAATAAAGTGTCCGGTCAGTGTATATGTATAACCTGTTTTCCTTTTGAACCACTGAGAGGAGCACTTCACCACGGTTTTAGTTCTTGTAGTGTCAATAAAACACTGTGTTTGTCCTCTGGTGACATTTTATTTGGGAATGTTTTCACTCTAAAGGGAGCCGAACAACACAGACAATAGAAACAATAGAAACTTTAACCTACAAAAAGTCTGAGCAGCATGACTCATAAACTAAACAAACTTCTGTGTGGAAGCAAAGGCAGAAACACCCGGCCTCTCTCCCCGCCTCCTTATTTCATCACATTTTGCAGACTTTACTTTCAGTTCTGCTGATAACATCAGTGAGTTGTTTTAACCCAGATATTAGTGACGTTGTCACTGAGGATGGTTTTCATTGGCTCGATGATGCAGCTTTGACCTCAGCTGTGGGTCTCCACGCAGACCCACATAGATAATAAGATATTAGCTGTTAGATTATCGAGAGGTCACCATGCAACTGTTTATTTTTCTGCTTCTCCTGGAAATACACGGCACGGTGGGACGTGAGTTAGAAATTTGTATCACTTACAGTAAAGTTTTTTAAACTTTGTTTTGCTAAAAAGGACACATTTAAGATTATTTTTAAAAAGGCTATTAATAGGTGCGTTTGTCTATGTTTAAATAAAAGCCATTAATATCTCTGCTAGTTCTGGGAAAATGCTTCAGGAAGCTTGATTAGCATCACTTTCAAGTCACAAACACCAAAAAGGTTTGTGAGTTTTAATCACATCAACTTATCAGTGACACAAAAGGACTTCCTGATTCCTGCACAGTTCAGGGTGTGTCGGCAACATCACTAACAGTGTAACATGATCCATTACTCATCATCTGTTATTAATCACATCAATTTAGACTCTCAAAATAAAGTTGAACAAAAATACAATCGGATATTTTCTAATTTTACAACATTTGAAAAGAGACAATAATGAGTTATTGATTATTTGATTCATAATTACATCGGTGTTAGTCTCAAACATAGTAAAAAACCTTTGTGTTGGACTGTGCCATAGTTTTTGTTTTGTTTATAAAAACTGCCCTTAATTCAGCGCTGTTAGAATGATAATAGGATGATTAGATGAAATATGAACTGCATGCGCTGTTTCTGTTGAGTCTAAAAGCTGAAACAGTCATTGTTTCTTACAGTGACTCGCTCTCTGAGATATTTCTACACTTCTTCCTCTGGAGTCTCAAACTTTCCAGAGTTTGTAGCTGTTGGTTTGGTTGATGATGTTCAGATGATTCACTATGACAGCAACACAGAGAAAGCAGAGTTTAAGCAGCAGTGGATGGAGAAAGCTGCAGAAGATGATCCACAGTATTTGTCCCGCCAGACTAACAGGCTCATGAACACCCAGCAGATCTTTAAAGGCAACATCGACACTTTGAAGCAGCGATTCAACCAAACTGGAGGTTTGTTTCTGTTTCACTTTTTTACTCTTAAAATGAAGCTTTTTATTAACCCAGCTGCTGACACTGAATAAAATCTCTCCAGGTTGTAAAGACCTTTGTTGTTACAGACTAGACTTGTAGTCAAGCCCGCCTAAACCAAGACAAAGACGAGACCAAGATAAAAAAGTCTTACACTGTCACGTCTCTCACCCTCTCTTGCTTTTCACATAATGATATTATCCTATATCCTTGCATGTGATTGGCCACAATATGGAGGGATTGGAGCATAGCTGAGCCACTGTGTGAGAGCTGAGCAGCAAAAGGAAATTAAGTGAGGAGCCGGCTCTCGCTCAATGGGAGTCGACTCTTCTGATTCACTACAAAGCACTCTCTAAGCATGCTTTTGTGCATGACACATTATCGAACGTTGGTTTGTGTGTCATGGGTACACAATCACTATCTGAGACAGCAAGACAGAGACAGCAAGACCAAGACCACGTAAAAGTGGTCTCGAGGCATCCACCTCTATTACAGACACAAGCTAGCTTGTTGGCGCCCTTAATGGAAGCTTAACCAGCCAAATTTAAAAAGCTGATTATGTGTATTTATGTAGTTTTTATTGAAGCTCTTCAACTTAACTCCCTCATCTGTGGGCAAATATCAACTATTTCCTGCCCCTCTTGGTTTCAGGCGTTCACATTAATCAGATGATGTACGGCTGTGAATGGGACGATGAAACGACTGTAGTTAACAGCTATCATCAGTATGGCTATGATGGAGAAGATTTCCTATTATTTGACCTGAAGACACAGACATGGATCGCTCCAGTAATGCAGGCTGTAATCACCAAACACGAGTGGGACAGTGACAGATCTCTTTCAGATGATCTGAGGAAGTATCACACCAAGCTTTGTCCTGAGTGGCTGAAGAAGTACGTGAACTATGGGAGGAGCTCTCTGATGAGGACAGGTAAAATCACATGACCTGATTTATTGTAATACTTTTAATTAACAGGCCACATCCTGATCTTCTCATACATTTATTACCACTTTATCACATTTACACTTTTCATTTTTCCTAATTTCTGTTTATTTGACTTGTCTAATCACCATTACTGCAGCTTTTTACAGCACTCCCTTCACTCAGTTGTGTACTTCTTGTAATTCTCCCATTTTCTTAATTATTGTTTAAGTGGCATTTATATTAATTTGTGTGTCTAAAACATTCAAAATACATCAAATGTAAATGATAAACTCAGTATGAACTGTGATTTTTTTTATTTTTTTTATTATTTTTTTAAATTCCCTAGAGCTTCCATCAGTGTCTCTCCTCCAGAAGTCTTCCTCCTCTCCAGTCACCTGCCACGCTACAGGTTTCTATCCTGACAGAGCCGAGATGGTTTGGAGGAAAGATGGAGTGGAGCTTCATGAAGGTGTGGATCCTGGAGAGATCCTCACCAACCATGATGGGACCTTCCAGATGAGTGTTGATCTGGATCTTTCATCAGCCATACATGAGGACTGGAGCAGGTACATCTGTGTGTTTCAGCTCTTTGGTGTGAACGAGGACATCGTCACCAAACTGGACAAAGCAGCAATCAGGACCAATGAGGGTAAAATTGGAAAAAGAAGCGAGTAAAACTTTTATAAATACACCTTTATTTGATCTTATTTGGATTTTCCATTTGGCCCCATGTGAAAGGAGGAAACTGGAAGAAGCCCTTTTCACACATGCTTAAAACAAACCAGGTGTTTGATAGAGATTAGGAAGCAACAGGACTAATCATTCAGTACTTGATCTTAATAATGGACGATGTAGGAGTGAAAAAAAAACAACAAAAAACTTTCATTTTTGGGCTTTAGTACAAAGTTAAACTGCTGATTCAAAACTTTCAACAAAAATCTAAAACAGGCAACAAACTGGTAAATCTAAAATACACTCAGAGAAATCACACGAGGGAAAACAAACAGACACTGAAACAAAGACTGAAGGGAGAGGGGAGTGTTTATAAACACATGAGGTAATCAGAGAGTGGGAAACAGGAGGGTGACGAGACACAGCTGACAGAAAACTAAATGGATGAAACACTGAGTGAACTTAACGCAGGGACAGAAACAGAGACCCTTCAAGGACCAATAACAGTCTGTGACTACAACACCAACAAGAACTAAAACACAAACAGGTCTGAAGGATCCACTAACACAGCACAGCTGAAAATAAAGATCAGACAAGTAAAGTAAGTCAGACAGGTAAAAACTAGAAACTTTAATTTTAATGTGGTTTTAGTGACCCTGATTTTTTTCCTGGTTTTATGTGATCTGTTTATAACATGGAAGAATCAAACCTGCTGTGATACTGTGTTCATTCACCTGTTGTTGATGACTGGCTCAGTGTAACTGCTAAACATCAAACTGTAATACAGTTTGGTTATTCACTAATCTACATTAAAACCTTGTGTAGTTTAGTTCCTGTGGTGTTTTATAGATGAAGGACTGTTGTGGTCTTAATGAACGTTGGTCCAACAGTGAGATGAACTACAGAATGTAAATGTGTTGGTTTCAGGTTCTTCAGTCTTCCCTGCTGGTGTTGTTGTCCGGATTATGGGCATCCTGCTCCTCCTGACTGTCTGCTTCTCTGGAGTCTTTATCTGGAGGAGAAAATATAAAGGTGAGAAATATGAAACACATTTACCTCCAACATGTTTCCAACATTTTGATGTTTATGCTCTTATAATTTGATGTTTCATGTCTGTTACTTCCCATGTGATAAAGTTCATAATGTGTAAATATTTGATATTCAATCAAATGTTTCATACAAGTGGTGCAAACAGTGCCTTTATTCTTATGTGCTTTTGTATGTTTTGAATAAATAACTGTGTTACTGTCTGTGTTTTCAGAGCTGTACTGACAGTAAGTATTTAATTTATTATATATATATATATATGTACATATATTTTATTAGATTTTCTTAAAAATAATTTTACTTGGTTTTTATATTTCAGATTTAAATGCTTATTTAAAATGTTTGAGACTTAAGATGTTTAAAAGATTTCTCTGTGTGTGACTCAGTGCAGCTTTAGAAAGAAATTTATCGCTCAACCATCTCAGCTTTGCATGAAGTCAGCCTCTCCCAGCTGAATGACTCAAAGCTACATCCAGGATGAGATGCAGTCTATCTGAGAAAGAGAGAGACAACCACACAAACTCACACATGCAGGGAAAACTTAGAATTAAAATGATTAATTAATTTATGGTAATTCAATTATTTTAGAATAAACATTTAACTTAACCTACAAAAGGGTCTTTCTGTGTGGCGCTTACATGTTCTCCCCGTGTTTGCGTGGGTTCTCCCCGGGTACTCCGGCTTCCTCCCTCCATCCAAAGACATGCAGTTAGTGGGGACAGGTTAATTGGAAACACTAAATTGCCCATAGGCCTGAATGTGAGTGCGATTGGTTGTCTCTGTCTGTGTGTTAGCCCTGCAACAGACTGGTGACCTGTCCAGGGTGTACCCTGCCTCTCGCCTTAAGACAGCTGGGATAGGCTCCAGCGCCCAACAACCCTGAAAACGATCAGCAGAAACGAATGGATGGATGCATTACACCTGACATGCATCTTTTTATACTGTGGATGGAAACCTACACAGTTACAGTGAGAACCTGCAGGAACTTATGATCAGGAAGCTTCCTGCTGCATCCAAAATGGAGAAACTGAAAATAATACAAGATGTTATTTGGTTTTAATTTACAATGCAAGTCAGATTCAGTTTACATAAAGTGTTTGCACTGAAAACCTTTAGTTTGAGAGAGAGATCACTGCAGGAGCTCTCAGGCAAAGCTGAACACACACACACACACACACAAGTGCTTTTAAGAAATTAAAGAAAACTGATTTGCTGTAAATCATATCGTGAGCAAATCAGTTTTCTTTACAGTGTAAATCATATCACAGAATATGAGTAGCTTATGTTAAGGCGAACTGAAGAGGAGGAGAGAGACAGGTGCTGCTAGGGCGAGACTCTCGCAGAGTCCTTTAGTGCTGCAGGCAGGCAATATACTCAAACAGCGCACAACTTCAGGTTTTTTATTTCTATATGATAATTCTGCATTATTAAGCAATAAGAACAAGTAGTCTGATGTCCTGTAATCATTATGAAGCTATATTATTATATTATTATTACAATTACATAATACAATTATATATTGTATTATGAAATACAATGAAAAATTACGTTTTTGTACAGAGTATCGGTATCTGATCAGTATCGTCGTTACCACCCTGAATTTTACTTGGTATCTGATCGGAAAGCAAATCAGTGGTATCGCACATCACTACAGAACTCCACAGGAGCTCTCCTTTAAAATGAAAAAAGGGACATTTTAAAATTCTTTATCATTAAAAAAAATCACTGAAGCTAAATATAACACAAACATAACAGTTTGCCTCCAAAAAGTGTCTGTGAATCTGGTACCTGTTTAATTAAATAAACTTGCTTTTGGCTGTACACCCATTACTCTTGTGATGTGACTCAAGGACACTTGGAGTACAGTAAAAAACAAAACAAAAAATAAGCCTTATAAGTGCTGCTGCCACAGAGCTGCCCTTGCTTGCTTGATCGCTGATCTAGAACTTTCTACGTGTGTAAGCGTGTGGGTGGGGGAGGGGCGCATTGACTGGGCAGGAAAATCAAAGCCTCCATGTTCCGTTTATAAATGGATGGAAGTAGAGCTAGCTAAACTGAGCTCACTAACATATCTGTACTGTATTACAGAGCACAACAACATCGCCTATACTGTGCAGTTTAAGCAAATTCAAGCAATGCAGACACATTACACCACCCTACGTCACTTAGCTTCTATAATGGCTGCCAGAGCTGTACTGGGTGTTATCGAGCATTTTCCCCATGGGCCGGCCTCTGGACACTGGATTACCATCAACCGTGACTCTCTCCTGTGTGCAGTTCCCTCGTTATCCCTCAGTGTGTTTAAGCCCCGTGTTTCTGTCTGTCACTGTTGTGTTGTACCATCATCCTACACTGTGTGTTCAGTCCATAAATCTGCCTAATTTATTTGTGTCTTTAGTTCAGTTAGCTTTTTCCTTGTTCAGCAATAAAGCTGTTTTTTAAGTTTACGTTTTGTGTCCTGGAGTCTGAATATTGGATCCTTTTCCTGGCTTCCTGCACACATCACATGACGAGGAATTTAAAAAATGTGGGATTTTATCACAGGACAAAAAGGGCCTGTATCCCTCAGCAGTATACAAATTTATGAATCTGTCATGTATCAATAATCTTTATGGAGAAAATATGGGGAGATCAGATCAGTCACAGAACATTATATGGAAATGAATATTATAAAATATCTTGTAAAATACAAGATATACATCCCAAAGATCACAGATCTGGCAAAAGGTCTTTAAAGATTTGTCTGGAAACATTTTATATAATAAACGAAAATCTGCTTATAGCTCCAATGGCAAATTGGCAGGCCTTCATGTCAAAATATGAAGGGTCAGACACAGATCCTTCAGTGGAGTGTTTTTGTGTTTGTTTTTTATCTCGTCCTGCCTGGCAGCTTTTGCAATCAGAATAATGACCTGAACGGCAGTGCCAAACCCATTTTGCTTCTCCAAGGTCAGGTCTACAAACACTCTATTGGCTCCTGTTGTTCATGTGTTTCTTTTATCTGTTTATTTATTCATTTCTATTTGTGTTACTTCAGTTATTACATTATATGTGGTATAGTGTGTCTAAGGCATGAGAGAAAAAAAGAAAGGGAGAAAAATCGAGAAAATATAATAAAAGGGTAGAGTACAAATAGAAAAGCACAATGTACCGCAAGCTGCTGCACCTGTAAAAAAAAACAAAGATACAGCACCTGGAACAAAAAACAGTGCAAATGCACAGATACACAAATCAATAACCTTCTTGTGGTGAGTGTGAGAGAGAGAATACCTGTGTCTTTGTCATAAAGGTACTTTAAAGACACCGGTTTAGCTCAGTGGGAATGAGCGACACTGTGTTTTATGGCTGAGAACAGCAGGTCGAGTCCGACCTGTTGCCCCTTGCCACATGTCTCTCTCTCTCCCTGGCTTTTGTTTCAGTCTTAACTGTACCTTAAGGGCTGGAACCAGAAAAAGGCCCCAAAAAACAAATGTGCTTAATTAAATTAAAGTCTGGAAGCCACAATAATGCCCCCCAGGAGCCAGAGGCAAACAGAGATGGAACCAGGACAACCGGGCCATCCACAGCCCCCAAGAATACTGAAGACCTGAGGCCACACATCTTGGCTTTTTATGTAAAAACCATGTCAGCTTTGACAATTGACTTTTCATATCCTTATAAAAGAATAAGGAAAGGACCACGGAGAGTAGCCTGCTCATCTCAGCAAGTGACTGTAAGAAACATAAGCAATCTGACAGCTCCCCAAAAATGAAGCTAAAACATCTCCAAAACGTCCAGGTCATAAGCTCTGATTCCTCCATGTTAGCCAATCTATCTATTCTCAGGAAATATGCCTCAGTTTCAGTTTTCATTATTCATGTTTATTTGGAAATATCCTTTCATCCCTGCTCAATGGGCAAGAGATAATTTAAAAACATAAAAAAGTATAATGGCATTTCTAAGGTTGCTGGCATGTAAATCTGTTTAGAGTCTCTTTTGAGCACAAAAGGCATATTGCAATATATTTCTATTTTAGTAAGAAGACTTCAGGAAATGAATGTAGTTTCTGTGAAGTAATGGAACGATGTGTGTGGCTTGAAGTATTTCTTCTTATTTGAAGATGTAACAGAATTATACAAAACTAAGCTGACTAACAATATAAAGATCTAGTTATGTTAATTTCCTTATGATAAAGCCAGTTTGTGTTGCCATTTTATTTGTCTGATTTATTCACAGCTGTTCATATTTTAAAAGCTAATAAAATTTGTGTTTGTTGAGGGAATGGGAGAATTTTTGCACTGGAAAAAAATAACCAAATTACACGAATATCCCAGAACATAAGCTGCATCCAGGGCTAAATTGCTGGATGGATGTTTCACATTAATACAAAGAACTCTTAAAACATTTCATTCTAGGAATGGAATAATCATTTTGAAAAGGTCCAGGACGCGGTCACGCTTGTGTAAATGCAGAGATCTATCTCCTGTT